ACACTCGGACCGCCAGAAGCGAGAGAGAGAGAGAGAGAGAGAGAGAGAGAGAGAGAGAGAGAGAGAGAGAGAGAGTTTTTCTTAGTTAAAAATGTAAGTTAAAAGCTGTTTCGTTTTCTCAGTTATTGCTAACATTCAAACCAGGATCAACAATTTCTCAATAATTTCATGCTAAACGTTCTAACCGTATCTGATAAACGTAAACTGATAAATGTGCATAATTTACCGGATTTTTCTGTGCATTCATCCCAAGACTGTTTTTTCTTCGGTCTCCCTCTGGTCTGATGGCAAGAGTCTAAAATGTCATCCGTCTGTCCACTCTCCATCATCAAACTTGCTGTGGCCTCCACAGTCTACTAGTATGCGCTGGATTCTGGCCGCTCTTTTTGTGGGTAGTGTAGTTTTTCTTTTCTTATTCATTTTCTTTTTTAAATTAAGCTGAATTCACAAAGACTGGTGGCTTCTATACAATAATTGCTTAATTTTAAAGTTAATGATAAGTTTGTCTTGTAGGATTTCAGGATTTTTATTTCCGGAATGCCACTTCCTGATAAAAAGCCCGCGCCGGGCCTGCGCCGATTACAGATGCAACGGGGGGAAATTATGAACAATCCAGTGACACATCATGTAAGATTTATTTATTTAATTATGCCGGTTTCTTTCGAAAGAACATGAAATGCATATATGGTACAACACTGTTACTGTTATTCTGATATATTTACGCTACATGTAATACAAAACTTCATAAAATATCTTAATATAGCTACTAATGATAATATTTATTAAAATTGGCATTGACAGTTTTCAGTCAATATATTTGTTATCCATGTTGAGTATGTCATTTGTTGCATGCATACTAAATATAAATGTTTTTGTTAATATTACTATTATTTTAAATAAAAAAAAAAAAAAAAGAAGATGCCTCCCTTATTTGATACCCTAAGATTAGGGCATAATGGTTGGACTAACAAAAAATTTAAAGTGTGTTAGATTAAGTGTTAGACTGATGAGTGTTAGAAGGTGTAGAAGGATTGCATTTTTGTGAATCCATTTTGAATAACCTAAATGATTTTGAAAGCTTTGTATTTTTAAATATTGTATACTTTTATACTTGTTTTCCAGTATGGACGTGGAAGGTTCGCAAAGACTTGGCGTAGAAGAAAGTGGGTCTTTGGGATGCTGGGGGTTGCACCAGGAAGTAGCTAGCCCATTCTAAAACTTGTTCATCGAAGGTCCCGAAATCATCTTATCCCACTTATTGTACGACATGTGCATCCTGGAAGTTCCATACTTAGATGAATGGCGTGCTTACAGAGGGGTACTAACCAATCTTGGCTATAATCACTTTCCTGTGAAGCATAATCAGTGTTTTGTAGATCCAAGAACAGGCAGCCATACACATAATCTGGAAAGAGCATGGTTAACTTTCAAAAGAAAAAGATGGCGTCTTAGAGGAAATAGGACAGAGGACCTACTAAAACAACATCTAAAGCTGATAGAGTGGACTTACTGGCTTGCTAACCGGCACAGAAATGGTCCTCTTGGAAGACTGTTGAAGGACATTCATCGAAAATATCACCTTTAAGACACGAAGCTGATAAATTGATTACTCACTATTTGTCCAGCCTAACTTGACCATGCTTGCTAACTCCCAGATCCTCCTTATTTTACTCTTTTGAAACACCTCTTCCTTAGTCCCATTCATTGGTAATTATATAGATACTTCTTTATTTTGTACATCATTTTGCTTTTATTTTTTCTTTCTTACTTTAAATAAATCAAAAACACTACAGTTGTGTAAATTAATTTCTAATTGTTTTTTTTATTAATTTGTAATATGTATAAATTGTTATACCATTAACATATTGTTATGTAATGTAATAAAGGTTATGAAAATATAAGCTTTCACTCATTTAAGGTTCAGTAAAATTAATAATGCCTGCTTTGTAATGAACCTAAATGTTAGTAATACATCATTTAATGTTGAAATAGAGTACACTTTACAATAAGGTTCACAAATTCCATTAATAAATGCTTTGTTAATAGTAAGTCATGTTAATAAAGGGTCTACAAATGCCAGTAACACATCATTTAATGTTGAAATAGAGTACACTTTACAATAAGGTTCACAAATTCCATTAATAAATGCTTTGTTGAACGCAAGTAATAATAGTAAAGTGCATATAAACACGAACAACATATCTGTTAATGTTCAGATGGTTTCAACTTCAGAATTATGTTTACAGCCCAAAATCAATGCCTTATTATTAAATAATACTGATAAGGTACACAATGCCATTTTTACCTCTAGGGTAAGATGGTGAGTTAGAAATATTCACACTTAGTGTGTCAACTGCTACGTAATGTAAATATGTACAGTAAGTTAACCTTAAAACATTAAGGCTATTTACAGGCATTCGTTCATGTTAACTAATGCATTAACTAATGTTAACTAATTGTGCTGTTAACATGAATAGATGTATTAATATATGTGGGAGTTAACGTTAACAAAGATTAACTAATGCTGAACAGAGGTGTTGTAGCGTCTGCGTAGGATCATGCATGAGCGTTGGACTGTTTATGGCTTAAGAGACCCCTTTTAGCCTTTTGACATTTGCATATAAATTACAGTTCTGGTCAGAGACTTTACGTTCGTATAGGGGTTTTAAATTGCCAGATGGTTCTTCGCCGTCAAGAAGATTCGAACCAGCCCCCACTATCATCCCCCAATCTGATTTCAAACACATTCCCAAAGAGCTGTAAATGGCCAAACTAACACGCACACACACAAACTAACACACACACACACATAAAGACATTTCTTTATTTTAGACTATAATTAATCAGTTATAATTGTATCTGGTATATGCATGTGTTGTGTGTACCGTTCCCCTAATTGTGGAATCATAACCAGTTATAATACTAATTTATGTGTGTTAACGTTAACAAAAATAAATAATAAAAACATTACAGTGTTGATCATGGTTAGTTCATGTTAACTAATGGATTAACTAATGTTAACTAACCGCGCTGTTAATGTGAATAGATGCACTAATGTATGTAAGTTAACATTAACAAAGATTAACTAATGCTGAACAGATGTGTTGTTCGTGGTTAGTTCATGTTAACTAATGCTTTAACTAATGTTAACTAATTCTGCTGTTAATGTGAATAGATGCACTAATGTATGTGAGTTAACGTTAACAAAGATTAACTAATGCTGAACAGAGGTGTTGATCATGGTTAGTTCATGTTAACTAATGCATGAACTAATGTTAACTAACTGTGCTATTAATGTGAATAGATGCACTAATTTGTGCGAGTTAACGTTAACAAAGATTAACTAATGCTGAACAGAGGTGTTGATCATGGTTAGTTCATGTTAACTAATGCATGAACTAATGCTAACTAACTGCGGTGTTAATGTGAATAGATGCATTAATATATGTGTGAGTTAACGTTAACAAAGATCAACTAATGCTGAACAGAGGTGTTGTTCATGGTTAGTTCATGTTAACTAATGCATGAACTAATGTTAACTAATACAACCTTATTGTAAAGTGTTACCCTTCTGGGTGCGATCTAATGAGGGATTTGGTCATATAATGTTGCAGAAGTATATTATTTGTAGCCTTTTATATCAAGCTAATCGCTACACCTGCTTAGCATGTATCGTGTAAACACACTGTGATGTTATAAAAATAGGCAGAATCTAGTACTGTAGTGTTACTACTGTAAATCCATGGTAAATTATGGTGATTTGTAGATTGAAAAGATTGCTGACTGTATCATTGCACACAGTGTGCAAACAGTCTCCTGTTTGTCAGCACTGTTTCCTCTGGATTTAAACTAGTTTAAATCACAGAGTCATTTGTGTTCTTCGCTGAATTCAAGCACTTCACTCTGGATCACACAGCAATGTTTAGTGTCGTGTGACTGAGACTCATCAGCAAGTAATGCATCTGCTCTAGTGAGCTCGCGCTGCCATTTAAACTCTGAGCTCCATGTGGCACAGTTCAAATGTTTCGTTCCGCTTTAGGCGCATAAACATTATATCAAATATGTTAAAACTATGTTAAATATATATTATTTAAAAACATATTTTGGCTGATTTATAAGCCTTTTTTAACTAGTGAGGACCAGTCAAATATCATCGGTTGTCAAAGTATTTCACAATATAAATGAGGATATTTGGTTTTCACAAATATAGTTAAACTCACACACACACACACGCACACAACATTGCATATATTCACCCTCTACAAATCCATAATTTTAGCCTGCACCTGAAGGTCACTGTTGGGGAATCGTTAAGTCTTGCTGTGTGAGTAGCTCCCTATCAAAGCTACTGTTAGCTTTTTTTGTTTGTTCATATGTTTAGGTCATTTGGAGTGTGGTGAGGGTGTGTTGATAAGCCCACTATCCCTATCTCCAGGATACCTGGACACTTATACACTTACTAGACTGCAGTATTCATTATTTCTTCTTATTTATTTTTTTTGGCAGTACCCTGCTTGAGCTTAGTGACCAAAACGTTTGTGGTCCTGTCAGCCTTGGGTGTGTATAGTGACATTATGGGCGATAAAAAAAATTGCTCAGCTGATTAAATATTTTGTAGTATCTGAAGGTCAAGGGGAAAAAATATAAAACATG